GCAACTTTTTACGTGATAAGAGTTTCATATTACAACATGGTTATTATTTTACATCGAGTCAAAGTCATTATCATTAGTCGTGATCTATCCACTGCTGAATGAAAGCCTTTTCAAGCTGTCACCATATCACCATGGGGTGCCACGGTGGCGAGATGTTAACTACCTCGCGTGGTATGCAGGATTTCGTGGGTTCCATCCCGACCCTCACGCCTGTATATTTGGAATTTGCATGCTCTCCCTGTGGTGGCATGGATTTTTATTCAGGTCCTCCGGTTTTTACCTCTATAAACACAAATTTAAGAGTATTTGGCTGCTATACATTTCCATATGATAAGCCACTTCATTGAGCTATCATTTGTGGCCAGGTCGCTTCTGAAAAAGAGCTATATAACACAGTGGGCCTTACCTGGTAAAACACAAAATAGTAAAAATATATCTCATAAATCTTGACTTAAAGCTTTCGTGACTGCTAGGAATACATATTCTATGGGTCTTTCGATGAAGCCACGTCGATAGAAAAATAATAAAAATATCACGACGTTTCGATCGCAACACAAGCAATCGTCTTCTCTCTCACCTGAAGACGATTGCTTGTGTTGCGATCGAAACGTTGTGATATTTTTATTATTTTTCTACCTACGTGGCTTTACCGAAAGACCCATAGAATATGTCGTCTCATGTTCTCACGATACAATCCCTATAGCTCCTGCACATGGGCCGCTCTTCGCTTCAGCTCCGCGATGGACGTCCACCTGTGTGTGTATTGCTCCTTCACTTGCCGCCACCCCCATCATAGTTAACTATGACCACTCGCCATCATCCCTTCTTCCTGTAGTGCGTGCTCCCCAAGCCCACTTGCTTTCTTCAACAGTTAATGATTATTTTGTTGGTATAAATTTCCACATGATAAGCCACTTAGTTGAGCTATCATTTGTGGCCAGGTCGCTTCTAAAAAATAAGCGACAAGTCAAGTGGGCTTTACCTGGTAATATAAAAAAAATTGTTTAGCTTCATTTTCATGGTGTTTTCACTCCATGTGTCTCCGCATATGATGACTTATAAATCAACGCACAGATGCTTTCACCTGATAGCAGAAATTAGCATCCGTTTTCAAAACCTATTTCAAATGTTGAAAAAATATTTGACGAGATTTTACAAATGTTAGCAGATTCCCAGCGAGCTGTGTAAAGTGGTGTTCAATTTAAAACTTAAGTTGACATTAAAGGAGAGCAGTAGCCACTACGGTTTGTGCACTGAATTATAAACTTGTCACAGTTTACTTCCCCCCCAGGATATCAACCTTCACCGATTAGAGTGGTGAAGTATGGTTAAAACAACCCCCACGGCCGACACTGCATAGGGAGTCCTTCATTTAGCTGTACATTCAAAAAAAAGGTTAGTCAGTTTAACACGTGGGCTTTCGCGACCACTATCATTCATAAGAGGTTTTTGGGTGAGCGTGTGTAAATATATAAATGTGTCATTAAAACCCACCACCACCCGACACAGCCAACTAGTAAGGGTTATCACGTAAACAGAACATGCCAATTCGTCACTAGTAGAGCACACCGGTGTGGTGGAGAGCCAAGCCACAACATTTACAAACAGCCAGATTTGTCTGTCGCCTGATGAAGCTAGTTGTAATTACTGGCGAAACGTCGTAATGTTGTGGCTTGGCTCTCCAACACATACCGGTGTTCTGTTTACGTGGCTACTGCTCTCCTTTAATGTCAACTTATGTTATAGATTGAACACCACTTTACACAGCTCGCTGGGAATCTGCTAACATTTGTAAAATATCGTCAAAGATTTTTTTCAACGTTTGAAAAAAAATTTTGAAAACAGAAAGCATCTGTGCGTTGATTTATAAGTCATCATATGCGGAGACACATGGAGTGAAAACACCATGTGCGTATTGAGTCAGCTCAAATAAATTATCATGTCCTCTAGTAAATCCCCTGCGCAGCATCCATGCTTGAAAAAAATAAAACGGCGGCGTTTTGTGGCGGTCACAGCTAGAGCTGATTAAAAAAAGTTCAAACTACAGCATCTCTCATTGAGTTGTAGTGGCGTTAATGAGCACACGTAAACAGCATGACACATCCCGCATGCAAAATGTTTGATCTGATAATAAAGTCCAATCAAAAAATACTTCGTGCCGACAGGCAGGACAAGTGATGTAGCACGGTCCTCGCTCATGCACATGATACGCAGCTTGCCTCAGCGAGGGGGAGGCGGTAATCCAGTGGGGGGCGGGGGGGAGGGCATGTTTGCCCGATGACACCACTGCACCGAAATCGCCCCACCAAGCGAGCGGTGGGACCTAACCAGGAGAGCCAGGACGCGGGCACCGCAGCACAAGAAGAATGCAGGGGACCGGTCGAGATGCTGTGATTCATCACCACCCCGACCCCTCTCCCCACATACGACTCCCCACACCCCCCGGTCTCCCTAAACCCAGTCCCTCTCCACCACCCCCAAAATGAACAATCATGCCTCTGAGCATCTCCCTCTCCTAAAGGCCGTCTATATTTAGCGCAGGGCGCGAGGGGACCCGCATAGCAGGGGCTCCGCTAATCCCAAGTGACAGGCGCAGTAAATAAAGTTGCATGGGATCATTGCTGGCGCCCGGACCCGGCCCGGACCAGCCGCACGCGCTCAGGAGTTCGCGTGCCAGACAGGTGGCCCGACAACACCTGGATGCTCCCTGCCTGCACCATCCCCCATCACTTCCTCCCCCCAACCCCACCTCCGGCATCACCAATGATCCGTTTGCTCGCAGTTCTCTTGACTACGCACCTTGGTTGTCGGGGCATTCTCATTGTCAAACGGGGCGGCGTTTCTCACTCTGGGTCGTCGCTTGTTTCTCACTATGTGGGGTCGGAGATTGGCGGCCGCTCCGGGTCACGCTGGGAGACCGATTGGGCTGGACTCCCCGAGTCGTTGTGCGTAACGATTTAATGAGACGGTGAGAACTCAATTGGGAAAAATGAAAATTGCGAGAAATGTATGGGCTGTGTGGTGTTCAAGTGTAAATACTCTGTAATGCACCCGTCTCTAAAGCTTCAGCTCAGATTGCTCACATCAACATCAGCAAACTCTGCCAAACTAATATTAAAGCACAATAATGACTCGCATGTCTACGAGCCATGGCTCAGAAATGCTGATTTCACATGTTGTATTTATACAGCAGAGTGTGGTAAAGAAAGCAATAGAACTGTATATATTAAACTAGGAAGCATCAAAGCAACAAATTATGGAAAATAATAGATGGACTGCGTGAATGCCTTACCCTCTGGTAACTCACAATATTCTTAAGTCTCAAATCCTGACTGTGGCGGAATAACTATTTGAGTTAACAGTGTACTGGCAAATCACCTTTTCACAATGTGAATTTGAAACTTAAGAATCAAATGCTCACATTGCATGTGGCCAGTGCTACTCATTGCATAAGGATGGATGATTAATAAAAGAGAGAAAAAAAACAACCAATTGGACATCTGGACGTAATTGAGATCTTAACCGTAGCGTGAGAAAAACCATCACTGATGAAACGGAACTTACAAGAAGATGAAAAATGAAGAGAGAAATGGACAGAAATCAGGCAGCACTCAAGTCATGAAACGCAGACACAAGCAGTGGGGAGCCATGGCTCGAAACTCTTGAGACGGACAACGCAACACATGCCCACGTTAAAAACTTACAAGTCATAAATGCGAGCTAAAATTCAGAAGCTCGTCTTTACTATCCACACGAATGACATTTGTTCAAGAGGGCTTAAGACCTCGTTACACAGCCAGGCAACGAGCCGCCTCGTGCATGGCTTCATCATTAACCCAAACGTCCGGCAATCGTCCCGCTGCACATCCGGTCATTTAATTGGCCAGGCGGCAGGATCAGTGCGCATTTTCACTCAATGATTAATTTTCTATTTGTTTAAAACGAACACAAACCATTAAATTAGCCAGATTTACAGAAGGGGTTTGGAAATGTAAAAAAATGCCATAAATTTAATTGGCGAAAAAAATGTATCTTTAGCACAGCTCATTACGCGTTTTTTTTTAACGACGTGAGTAATTGCGTATTATTAAAAATAATGTAAAGACAGTTTGCAATTTGAGGTTTTATTTAAATGTCGCTGGTGTTTGAGTAAGTGTCCTCTGTGTTTATTAGCAGCGAGTGCTGTGGACCACACTCTGGTTGCCATCAAACGGCAGCTCCGGGGAACAAAATCGTGACAATTAAGCGGTGCCAGGCTACGCAGATCAGTGTTGACAGCATGCCACACTGTGCGCATTTACACAAACAGGGGCAATACGCCCGTTCGAGATTAACCGTGCACAGACAAACGAGGCAGCAATCGGTGAGCTACACGTTGAGTTATAGATCGCTGAGTTGTGTGTAGACTGAGATAAAGGGGGAAACACAAAGATAGATGGAGGCACTGCTAGCTGCAAACTAAGACACAAGTATACCAATTACAAACAGGAGGAGATCAATACACAAAGGCAAATGTGTGTCGATACAAACACACTTGGACTTGGGCAGACACATACGTATTGACGATTAGCACGGTTGGCTACGTAAGGTGCGAAAGAAGTTCAACATACATACAAGGAGGTGGTGTAGCCAATACCATGCCTGGCAGCCTTTGTCTCCCCAAGGCTAATCATACACATTGCACTAGGTACTCATTTACGGCTGCGTGAACCTAGGGGAAGAACATTCACAGAGGTTAGTTGGCTGTAAATTGGACCGATGGTGCCGGGTTTGCAGTGCAATTCACTGGCTACGATGGTATCGCTTCCCACTTTTATGGGAGGCTAAATGCACTGCCGGAGGGCTGTGAAGAGTAGACGGTAGACTGAAACAGGGAGACAGACACAGATTCAAATTTACAAGAGATCCATACACAAAAACACAATCACCGACACAAAGATATAAACATGCGTGGCCATCGCGCACAGCCAGAGAGGACACGGACGGCAATGGGCACCCACCCGTTTCTGCTCCTGGAGGTAGCTCTGCATGTCCGTGCGCGTCCTCTCCGCGGCCTCCCGCATTGCCTGGGTGCTCTTCTCACGCTCCTCCTGCAATCCCCTCTCCAGGGCTTCCTATGGGTGGCACGAAGCCCCAGTCAATAATCCCACGGGCCCATATTAATACCAGCAACAGCAGCAACACCTTCACCGATGCCAACGCCATCATCCAAACTCATCCTACTGCTGCCACAATACATACGGGTGCTTCTTTCATTAACTTTTCTTTTCCAATAAGTGCAATTTATTTGAATGAAAGCTATTTGGAACACTGGGTTTGAAAAAAACTAGTTTGAATTTGATGTAAGCTGCACGTGAAAATTACGGACAGCTAGTCATAATGAGGAACACAAGCTATAAAACAATGTTTATGTCACCAAAGAAAAGCTATTGTTGGAAAAGGGTCATACATACCAACATAGCAAACACAAGTGAATGGAAATATGAAATGGTAAATTGCATTATATTGTAGAGATTTGCTGTTCACCATAAACAGAAGCCTGCACGGATCAAACAAATTAAACTGCTGATCATGCAATATTTCATCTTGGGAAAATAAAAGTCTCAATTCCAGTTCAACAAAATGCAAGTCGCTCAGTGTCTGGGCAGGCGAGAAAGTCTCCCCACCTGGCCCCTGTCCCTCTCCTCCTGCACGGCCTCCTGCATAGCCTTGCGCAGGACACCCTTCTCCTGAGCAAACAGGTCATGCAGCTTGGCCGTAAGCCTCTCCTCGACGTCCTTGCTCCGCTCTCGCTCCCGCTCCACGGCCTCATCCACGGCGGCCTGCAGCCCCCTCCGCTCGGTCTGTCGTGGCACAGAATCGCCAATTATCTCCAGTCGCTTGTTCGCTCGCTCACCGGTGGTCATTCGTCTCATTATCACTCTTTTATAGCTTCCGTCGAAAGTTACTTCACTCGTTAATTCCCTCACCCATGATGTCCGACTGGACATCTGTGAAACAGAGCTGTGTAGCTCATCGGATTCCTCCAGTATAAATAAACATTCTGATAACTCTAAGAGACCTTGTGCTTATCTCATTCACAATGTGTTTAACCACCACACTGCAGGCCACTACGCCTCTCTTTCTGTTTCTTCACTCGCACTGCTCCAGTTTGGAATTCCCTCCCAGCATCTCTTTACCCAAGCTCTTAGAACTTGGCTCAATTCAACAAACGGAGTAAGTCTCATCCGATCCCTATGTTTTTGGTTTTAAGTTGTCTCGTCTATTAGACCATGTGCAGTGCTGTTTGTTGCTGGCTGATTGGCATTTTGGGCCTTCAGGTCTGTGCTCATAAACTGGGAGTTTGTAACCGAGTGCTGTGGGCACCCTGACCCAGATGCGAACCCTTCAATAGCCACTCATCGGCTCGCCGATGTGAACATTAAGCGTTGTTAAGTTCCAAACGTAAAATAAAAAGGCTCTCAAGAATACATTTGTATGTATGTGTAGTGAAATCGTTGGATGTCACTGTGTGAAGCCGGCCTGGGAGAGGCACGGCATGCGATGTACTGACATCGCAAACACCACTGAGGGTGGATGCAGTACCGGCCCGAGCAGGGCTCGGTGAGCACTGAAAGAGAGTGACCGATGGCACCACGCCCTGCGTGCAGTGCCAGCCCCTAAAGGATAGAGGGCGAGAGTGCCGGGCACGGTACGGGGTTACAAGGGGGCCATGGCACTGTGGTTGAACCCGGAGGACACGTGACCGGAGGTATCTACCCGGAGACCCCCAAAAGGGGAGCTGGGGGACCACGTGCCCAGGTGGAGATCCTCCTCGAGAGTTCTTAAAGATAGGTGTGGCTCGGGGCGGGGCCAGCCACGAGCCACACAGGTTATAAGCCAGAGCCCTGAGAGGCGCCGGCTGCTGTTGTCATCCTGAAGAATCTACGTTCCCCGTTCTACGTCCGAAAAGAGTCACCAACACGTGGACCTGATCCCAAGCTGGGGTCCTGTCCATTCGTAGCTACTCCCAGTGCAAGCAGTGTAGTTAGCCTGGTGGTCCACCACCACAGGTTGTTATCTGGTAAAGGGGCAGTTACCCCTTTGTGTTGGTGTGTGTTGGTGTTAACAAATGTGTTGCCTCCAAGAGTACGTCTGAGTCTCCGTTTGGGCCCACTACATATGTACACATGCCTTTTGTCAATCCACTGCTGGAGGAGGGCGTCTCCATGCAATGTAAGTTATGGGGTTAATTTGACCATACTCGTCAGTGCGGGTTGGTAAAGATGGCAATAGGTGTGGTAGCACATAAGTACAGTCCAACATCGGATTTGATGGCACTACTCTCTGATGCCCAATGCATAGCCCCCAGAGCTTATGGCATTGGCTATAAATTGTCAGTTAAATCAATGTAATTATACAATGACGTGACTTAAAGCTTTCGTGACTGCAGGAATTAATATGCTTTGGGTCTTTCGGTAAAGTCACGTAGATAGCTTCAAAGAAAATAACAAAAAACTACGACGTTTCGATCGCAACACAAGCAATCGTCATCAGGAGAAAAAAAGAGTGGGAAAGCTGCTGAGGCAGGCTGTTTTTCGACTCTCTGGTTTTACACTAACAGGTTAAATGTCTCGCACTAACACAGCCACCGTCGCTCGTGTCCTCGATGTGGCGGTGGCTCTGCGATCTTACATTGACATGCAAATCTCTGATTTTACATTAACAGGTTAAATGTCTCACACTAACACAGCCACCGTCGCTCGTGTCCTCGATGTGGCAGTGGCTCTGAGATCTTACATTGACATGCAAATCTCTGATTTTACATTAACAGGTTAAATGTCTCACACTAACATAGCCACCGTCGCTCGTGTCCTTGAGGTGGCGGTGGCTCTGAGATCTTACATTGACATGCTAATCTCTCACAATACAATGGCCACCTCCGCAGCTTTGTCGTCGTGGAGGTAGCTCTCAGACCTTACATTGACATGCAAATTTCTCACATTAACATAACTAGCCCCGCACACATCGTTTATGACCCTTAGGCTACACCCATTTCAAACCTTGAAAACAGCCTGCCTCAGCAGCTTTCCCACTCTTTTTTTCTCCTGATGACGATTGCCTGTGTTGCCATCGAAACGTCTAAGTTTTTTGATATTTTCTTTGAACCTGACTTTACCGAAAGACCCAAGAATATACAATGACATTGCCACACAATAACCTCATAGTTATAAACATTCCGACTGTGGTTGCCATCGTCAGCATCATATGCAATGCCACCATCACCTCCACCGCCGCTTTCAATGCCTCCGCGTTCTTCTGCACCTCCTCTGCCAGGCACTTCTCAACCTCAGCCTGCCAGGCATTCACAGCACAATAACACAATCATTAAATTGGCAACAACAACAACAACAACCAAACTCACATTCGTCAATAACACTGTGGTCTTAAAAGAAACAAATATTTCTAGGTGGCATTTTGGGCACGGACTCTATATTGCACATTTTTAAAATGCGCAATGAAAAAGGGGCATTGTGTTCTTGATGAATGTTTCGATTTTTGATAATTGTGGTAATGCAGCATGAACAATTACTTCATTTAAGTCTCTAAGAATTAAAAGTCTCTTGAAGGGAGACCTGGATCACACAACGGCAAAACTGAACACGTGATAACAGACCCAAATAAAAAAACGACAGCATGCTGGGTAGAAATAGTGAACAAGACAGAAAAACCTTACATTAAACTTACAATTCACCAAGTTATGCACAAACATCTCACTTGCTCACACAGTGGCCCACAAGTGCAAGACTGCCCTTGAACCCTAGGATGCAGCCATAGGTTCAAGAGACCCAGCATGGTGCCTTTGCATACAAATGACAGACTCTAGCATACCCTTAAACAAATACCTTTAACTTCTTAGATAATGTAAAGGAACCAACAAATCACATTGCTTACATGGGCAAACACATTATTTGCCTGAATGGGTATTCCAGACCCAAAAACTAAAAAGAGTCCCGAGTATTTCTGGACCACATCCCAGGGTTAACACATGGGTCTGCTCTTTGACATCTACTCTGAGATCCCCGTCTACTCTTCACGGACCTCCAACAGTGCATTTAGCCTCCTCTAAAAGTGGGAAGCGATACCATAGTAGCCAGTGCATTGCACTGCAAACCCAGCACCACCGTTCCAATTTACAGCCACTTAACCTCTGTGAATGTTATTCCCCTAGTTTCACTCAGCCTTAAATGAGTACCTAGTGCAATGTGTAATGATTAGCCTTGGGGAGACAAAGGCTGCCAGGCGTGGTATTGGCTACACCACATCCTTGAACGTATGCTGAACTTCTTTCACACCGTACGTAGCCAACCGTGCTCATCAGAGGAGCGGGGGAAAGACAAAAAATATATACAATAAATAAAACATTAAAATGTGTTCTGTGCCAGCGTTCACAGGTGCTTGACAAGAGCAATTGGTCCAACAACCTGTGTAGGCTACAGGGGGTGATGTCTTTATTAGCCGAAAGCACATAGATGCCATGGTGGTGGAGAGTGAAATAAGTTGTTTGTTGTTGTTAGGGTGTGGCCTGCGGAGGCATTGCCTTGTGCTGTGCCGTCTGTTCTTGCAGAGCCTCTGCGATTCGCTCCTCACACGCCAAGCGGCACTCCTCCAGTAGGGCCCGCAGCCTCTCATGCTGCAACACAGCGCAAACACAATCCAGACACCGTGATCATCACGCAACCCCCCCCCCCCCCCCCCCCATGACGACTATCACGGCCACTGACACCAACAGATCTGGGCCAAGTTGTAATCCTTTTTTATATTTTACGACTTCCGAACAAAACAGACCTATTTTGATCAGCAACAGCTCACCAGAAAGGCTCGGTCAAAATAGAAATAGATCCACATGACCCGATGCTTGTGACCCACTCTTGACCCCAAGCACCCAAAACATTTTCAAATAATACTTTGGAGAGAGTGTTGTCAGTTTGGGCTGATACACTGCCTTTCCTTTCACTGTATTTAGCCTGGACTTAATATAATTGACAAAACCCAACTTCCACAATAACTGTTTCTGCCCTTTGATAACGGTTTAAAAGAGGCTTAAATAATTGCTGTTGTCCCAACTTTACCTTTAACACTTCCATATATATATAGCACTGAATTATAAATCACAGCTGCTTGACAATCTATCGCTGGATGAAGGCCTCCCCATGTTGCGAGGGTCACGGAAGTTTTTGACCATACTTCACCACGTACATCAGTGCAGGTTGATGAAGGAAAGGTGTGGCTAGGATCGGTTCAAGTATCACTCGCCACTGATATTAGCCGTGGCCGGTTTTCAAACTTAGGTTGTCGGGTTTATAGCGTAGTGCGCTTAACCACCGCACCACGACTACCCTCCACATGCAGCAGACATGAACGTTAGATATAATTAAGTGAATGCTCATCGAGACAAAAGTCTGATTATATTAACTTATCAATTAAAATACATTTGTGAACTCACAATACATGCATCACAAAATGAAGGTTCCATAATTTTAAATTCGGATACGTTATAGGGCAGTGGAGCAAAGTTTAGCGTAGTTTGTTGTCCTTCCCCCGCACCTCCGATTAGAACAGTTGGCTACGTACGGTGCGAAATAAATTCAACATGCATACATACAGCGTGCTAGAAACTCGGGGACTAATGTTTACTTCCTGGCCACGTGAGTGATATCTGAAGCAGCCCTGGAGAGCCCAGGTGGTGAGGTATGGTCAAACAATCTCCATGACGGGTGTGGGAAGGTTTAAATTCAGCAGCGGATGAGTAAAGAGCTGCAGATTATAACTGTTATGTTTCCATGGGTTCATATCACCCCTGCAGCCACTAGAGGCACTAACCATTCACTACAATGTGTTAAAACAAGAAGTTCAACTGAAATCACCAACATTCATTGAATCAATGGGTAAGAGGCGATTCGTTTCCAAATTCAGCAGGCACGGCGCAAAATTAAATGTTGTCAGCAATTGAGTAAATCTCTCCCAGCTGAGAATAGGGCAGTCTTGGCATGAGCGGCGGGAGGCTGACCTGTGCGGACATGAGCTCCTGGCACGCCTGGACCTGGGTCTCCAACGCGGAGCGAACGTGCCTCTCGCCGGCCTCGTTGGCCTCCTGCACTGCCGACACGCTCAGGGCCTGTCACCAAACATTGCCCGGATGCACGCGGAACAATACACACCACGGGGAAAAAAATATAATTTCTTTATGCAATTCGAGCTACCCAAGAGCGGGTTCCCAATTAGGTAATTGTCTTAGAGGTGCAGCGTAATGGTCCCCATCAGTACAGACGGGGCAAGCAAAAAACGACGTCATTAAATCAGTTTCCCCCGTAAATTACGTGAGCTAAACATGCATTCGTGTCAAGTGAAAAAGTCACACACACACACACAGCTGTCCAAATGAAATACCACCGGTGTGGACGGATATGAAAGACGGTGAAAAAGAGTACCGCTGATGTGCTGACGTTGTATGAACAGAGCCTGCACTGCACCTAGACACCTTTATTCCTTCTCCAGTACTTACATCGATATCCTTCATACCAAGTCAATCTTGCAGAGGTCCCTGCCTTGGCATTTTGTATCGGTGGAGTCGACACATGTGGATTCAATTCAGGAGTGAGAACCGAACAGAGATGCTGAAACCGGAACATGGATATACCAGCCACAACTTTACACCTCCATAGCAAACAGTCAATAAACCACAACTTGGGGAACCTGAGAGACAATGCACCCCATGGCTTGTTCAAGTATAACCAATTTCAGCATCTAGCGAGGTCTACCCAGGCCTCTGAACATGGCACAAAGGCGAACAAACATAACGTATATGGATGCTTGCCATGCTTTGTAACCTAATCCGTAGCCCTGTCCGCCTGCCAGCCACACTGCTGACAATCCTGTGACAAAACATTTCACCGTCACTTGCAACATGTGGTCCCACGCAAAAATGGCCTCCCACTCACGTAAACAAGTTGCACCAGGTGCACTCTCGTGGTACCACTGCTGTTTATTATCTGCGTATGACAGTAGCCCTTGACGGGAGAGCTGTGCGCTACTGTGACATTTAAAGATACTTGACTCAGCCCCTCACTTGGGGTGATGAACTTTACCCAAAATGCCTGGCTTCCAGGGACAGGGGGGCAAAGACAGCCTTGAACAGCTCTATATTATGTTTCAACATTGTCAAGACCGACGGGTCTCAAAGAGTTTGATGAACCTTGCATTTTTAATAAGACCATTGTTTTTGTTATCGACAGAAGACATTTCTTAGGGAGCACAATGATGTAATAACTTTAAAAACGTTCAAATGAAGATGGCTTGGAAGCCTTTAATTCAGATATATTTGTACCTTTATCATATGATATCTGTAACTTGCCACCTTAATTTTAAAATGAAATTATGTAAGATCATTTAAACACAAAAATTTTGGCCCAAAAGTAAAAACTACCTTTCTAAATATGGATTTAGATGAATGGCTTAGTCAAATATGACCGAAATCACACGTGACCAAATCTCACGGAATGCTCCCGATCACGTCAGTTCTCGGAAACGAAGCAGGGTTGCGCCTAGTTAGTACATGGATCGCGACCTACTTCGGATTACCAAGTGTTGTAGGCTCGGATTGTGGGGTAAGCATGAGAGGATAGTGCAGGATTGGATTCTTGAATCTAAAAGAGTGGGGTCTCTGAGTTGTATCCATTCATGCATATGGGTTTTCTCCTACAAGCCAAACACTCAATAATTGTACTGGCCAAACATCCCAATACAGGATCCTCCTCAATGTGGACCTCTTGAGGCTCAGTGGGGCTTCCCTGGATAAACAAAGGCCCTTATATATACACACCAGTTGCCTTTGTGTAGAATGGACAACATACAAGATAAAACAAAGATACGTCTTAAGCAATGGCTGCAGTAATAGTACACACACCTTGTACTCCTCCACGATGATGGCAAGTGCCTCGTGCCCAGCCGTCCTGAGCTCCTCCAACTCCTTCTGGTGTTTCTCCTGCGAATGCACACACACCCACAACACCCAAACACGTACCAAGACAAAGATCCGCCTTCAGCCTTTAACCAACTGTTGAAGCAAGCCCTGTTGGCAATGCCGGCAAGGTGCACTTTGTGCGGTGTGGCCAGCATCACGCTCGACTGCCTTGGTATCCCCAATGCCAATGTTTACACATCACACCAGATACTTCTTTAAGCCTGAGTCGACCTAGGGGAGGCCGAGAACTGGTTCAGATATTCACCACTGATGTTAGCCGTGGTCGAAAATCGAACTGGGTTCCCCACATTCAAAGCGGAGGCCATAAAAAATACAAAGATCTCCCGTATAGCCTTCAACAGACTGTTGGGGCAAGTGCTGTTTGGGAGTGTCTATGGAGGACACAAGCACACACACACACAGACACAGCCCAAACTCACGCATGCAACAACACTGAGAATAGAAGTGCGATTGAACTGCTTTTTGTGTTCAGTTTGCTGTATCTCCCCACACCTCTGATTAGCATAGTTGGCTGCGTACAGTGCGAAAGAAGTGTGAGTTTGAGGATAGAAAAGCGGTGAGCCGGTGACGGCGGGGTGGCCTGCAAGACCTGCATCTCCGTATAGCGCACGCGATGGTCGGCTGCCGCATTCGCCTCGGCATCAGCGAGACGTCGCTCCAGCCCCACGTTGCTCGTCAGCAAGCCCTCCAACACCTGCGAGTGCAAGTCGCTCCCGTCATTCACAATAATAATTAAGCAGGTGGATATGCATGGCTCTTGTAGAACGTTAATTTGTTGCCTTAATACTTAGTAAGAGCTAAATTTGTTGATTGGCTCTGAACGGATGTATATCAATTGCCTTCTCTTATGAATGTCCTTCAAGAAACTTCAACATAGATTTTCTGCAACTTCTCACGAAAATTGTCAAGTAAATTGGTGAGCAAGATTATCAGCCTTCTTGCAAACTGATCCAGCGGTTCAGTGACATGTGGCAAGTGCCTTCCCGTTATCCAAACGTGCGTGTCACCACACTCGGACAACAGCGCCTTCAGACTCGGTCATATTTAAACACTGTACAAATCCAAATTTGTATCGTATTGCGTTGCATTATTGATGGTCGTATCGGCCGAGCGACCTGTTGTGTCCGGTGCTTCTCCTGCTCTGCCAGACTGAGCTTGGCGAGCAGAGCCTCGAACTGCCCCACCGACACCGGCGGTGGTGTCTCCTCTTCCGTGGAAGCAGCGGCAGTGGCAGCAGTGGCGGCATTGGCGGCAGTGGCGGCGTCCACCTCCACCGATTGCCGCCGCTGCTGCCCTGGCACGGCCGCTGCGTTGATGATGGCGTCAGGTGGGGAGGTTGCGGGCGGACTGGCAGGACCAGACGCTCCAGAAGAGCTCACAGAGGCCTTTGGTGAACAACATCATTTAGGCCTTAACGATCACAAACAAAAAGAGGCCGCCATCAGAGAGCTGTATATATGTTTTACGGGCCTTTGTCAATCATCTTTTGGATGGAGGAATCGGTCATTGGAGTTGTTTGATATTTCTCTGCGTTGGTTAGTGCAAGTTTCTGATGTGGAGTTGGTGCCCTAGGACCAGTTCAGATATCGTTTGTCAATAATATTAGTCGTTACCGGGAATCGTAACCAAGTCGCAGTGTGACACCGCTCAATCTCATAATATATAACATATATACAGTGTAAATGTATTAGTTATCTGTTGATTGTGGCACAATACCACAATGAATGTCAATCTTCTTACCTTATTCGAAGTTCAGTAATTGTAGGCACTCAATGAGGCAAAATGTTACGACATATGATGTACATACAAGGCAGGTTTACTCATATGGTTTACTTATATCATGCAACAATTTCAGGTTCACAAGATGACTGATGTTATATTTGTAGAATGTCTTCAAATGTAAGGTGCAAGGAGCATGGCTTCAAACAATACAAGGATGCAGTGAGGCAAGGATCATGCTTGAACACCAACAGGAAGCACAAACGCAGCACATCGGTTTGCAAACAATGTAGGTCAAGCTATAACATGAAACAAAAGGCGATTTTATTTGTGAGCCATAACCGGTTTCTCAGAGGTGAATGAAGATCTGAAAGGACAGACTTTGAGAAAAAAGTTGAGAGGTAGAAATAGAAAGATTCTGTTTGACAACTTCAACGAACGGAGGATTCATACTGTGAAATGAAGAAGCTCAATTTCAGACAGGGTGGAGGGAGCTTCCGACGAGGATCTGCGAAAGGGCAGAGGACTAAAGAAGAAAAACTGGTGTAATCCCACTGGGTTAGGAAGCTACTCACTGGCAGAGAGGAGTGTAGGTCAGACAGGCCTGCTTGAGGGCCGATGCTTGAAGCCGCGGCATCGGGAAGGGGTCCCAAAGGCGGCGAGGAAGACTGGTCCAGCAGGATGTCTGGGGTGGCGCTTGGAGGCATGCCTAAACCAAGGGGACACAGATCAGGCCTGCCAAAACATTCTACACGTTTCAATTATTTGAAACTGCATTCAAATATTCCAAATTTCTCAGTCTCCTTAGTGCACGGTTGGCGACGTATGGTGCGAAAGAAGTTGAACATACATACGTATATACATACGCAAGTTGAACTTCTTTCATACCATACATAGCCAATTACCAATGAGGAAAAACGTACGTTTGTTGAATTTCTTTCACACCGTACGTAGCCATCCGTGCTAATTGGAGGCGCAGATACGTACGTACATATACCGGTAAGCGCGTGTGCTTCTTACCCACGGGAAAGGCTGCCCAAGGAATGGCCGCAGAAGGAACCGGAACTCCCCCATCAGGCAGAGGGTCCGCCGTCTAACGTACAGCACACATCACGCACGGCACCGTGAGCAGTGTCATCCATCCGTGTTGCGCGTAAATATGCTCATACATTGATTTGTACAAGTTAAGGATCTTACCTCGAAGCCGCCAAATTCATCACCAGACTCGTCATCCCCATTCCCACGTGCCTGTGAATACAAGATGTACCGGTGCTTCAGTTGGTACTCAGAGCGGACCACGTCTGGGTAATATATTCAGTTAAGTGATGACTAACGGTTCTTGCGATCCACCTTGTCAACTTGGAAGATGTAGATCCTTATGAAATGAGACTTTCTACCTGAACACATAAGCAGCATGGTAGAATACAGGGCCATTGAAAAGATGTTGGGGGGGCCTTTGGCTAAATGTTCTGAGGCCCCCTCGTATCTGATTCCACGGGCAAACTGCCCAAACTGACCTACATCCCCCCCCTCCCACACCTTGCATGTATGTTGAACTTCTTTCGCACCTTCACCACTTCACACAAAAACAGATATTCTACATATGACAGCTAAGAAGCCGCATGGACGTTCCCTTGATTCTGATCATTAGCCAGGCATGATTGAGCACACACATAATTTAATCAATCACTCTGAAGGCAATGTTTGATGGTTTACACAGATTTGTGAAACTTCCAAATTTACTCGGCTGTGAAATGGTCAGCGGATGGCTGAATAACACGTGGGTTCATGAACCCGTCTGTGCAAAACTTTAAGTGTTATAGCCCTGTACATGAGGTTTTTTTTTTCCCCCCGGTTTATTCCCACCTGGCAAACACACCTTAAGACGGGCAAATAACCCAATGTGGAATCGTCCTGGGAAATAATGTAGACTTGACACTGTTGAGGCTTTGCTGCATAAACAATCCACATATTTATTGTCACCAAAGTGCAAAAGCCTGTTTAACAGTGGGCTCCTCATCAGCGGCAGCGCCGCAGGATGGAGAAACATGTTTCTTTTTTTCTCCGATGATTGACAAATGTCCTATCGGCGAAATTGACAACAAGATTAATGTCAACTACAAACTGTCACAAAAAGGCTGTGTAATATCACCCCGTATCAGCGATGTCCCCCTACGACTTACTTTTATCCACACGAAGCATCCGTATCGTCATCATCACACCAAAAAACAAAGATCCCCCGGCCCCAATAGCCTTAACAGACTGTTGGGACAAGTGCTGTTAATGAGCACCACGGCACACGAGGGGGGTGGGTGGCCAGCACCACGCCCGGCCGCCTTTGTCTCCCCAGTGGCGACGTTTACTCCACACCGCATCAGGTACTCATTTGAGGCCGAGTCGACCTAGGAGGAGGCCCAGGTCCGGTTCAGATGATGAATCGTCAACCTGGTGGCGTACTTAGCCAAAAGGTACAAACGGCGAGTTATAAACCACGTGCGGTCTCGAATGTAACGAAAATTATTATCTCCCACCACCCACCCCACCTTGCACAGTCATTGCCAACCGGGCTGAGACCACTTGATTCGGGAAGCCACACTTTTAACCATTGCCGCAGATGTATACGGAATGTATACGGAAGACTCCCCCCTCCCTTCTCATCAGCTGCGCGGGCTCAGCTCTCTTGACATGGACATTGTGAACCCCCTTTTTCTTCCTCCCTTCCTCCTCAGCAACGCGACGCCACCTCAATGCTCCCCGCCCCCGACATCTCCAGCAACCCTCGCAGCCAGACAACCCGTCCAGGCCGAGGCCGACCCGAGCCCGGGTGGGGGTGAGGCAGGTGGGGGGAGAAGTGACGCCTGCCCCGGCGGGGACTTCTATCCGAGAGACGGTGCCGCGAGTGCGCGGCCTTGCGGCACCGCGGGTAGCCGCCGACAACTACGCGCGGCTCGCACAGGCGGCGAGACGTTGTCGAGGCTCACCTGGCCGCCACCAGCGGCGGCCCATGGGTGGGACATGGCAAGGAGGGGAGGTTTTTGTTGTTGTTGTTATTGTTGTTGTTGTTGCGACGTCCACCACCACCGAAGCGGAGACGTGAAAGCGACGCCGCCGCCACCACCACTCACTCACTCGGGAGGGCGGCGAGTCACGTGACCGCCAGCTGATTCCCGCCAGCAGTCACGTGGCACCCCCCCCCAGCTTGTCCACGTGGTGGCGGTGCCGTGACGATCTTCTCCTCCTTTGATCGACCACGTGCTCGCGCAAATTTTGTGTCGTCGGTTTCCACGCGTCTATTGTTTATAATAGGGGGGGGGGGGCGGTGGGGGTGTCAGCAGGGGGGTCGCATCCCACTGTGTAGGTTCTCCCCCCCCCCCCAAACTCCGTTCAATCGACGCCGCCTTCGAACTAAAGCGAACGTATCACAATTCACACCGTGACGTCGAAGCGCATGGAAGCGCCCCCCCCCACACACAATGCGCGGGGACCCGGGACGTTCGCCCCCGATTCGCAATAGCCTAGGCAACGGCTCTGAGTGTCTCCAGTGACTTAATTTACCCACGCGTTCGTGTATTGTGTTTAATAAGGCGCTGATGTTCTTCGCTAATGTTAATGGAGGCATTCGTGCCGTTTGTTTAACCAAGCGCCGTGTGATTTATTCAGCCGCCTGTCCTTTATTTCACCATGCGTCGATGTCCGTTAGTCAAGCACGTGTTGGAAGGTCTTATTTAACAAAGCGTTGGAGCCCTTTGGGGCCGTCCTTAAATGACGTCACACGAGTTTTGACGATGTTCGACCCCCACCCCCATCGTCACGCGGCGTCACAACAAAGTCAGACCCCCCCCTCAAATATGACGTCACAAAGCTCTGCTGCCCCCCCCCCCCTCCAAAATAAAACATGCTTCAAATCGCTTTAAACTATTGTCATTGTAGTGCGTATTTAATGTGGCGCTGCACTCTGATGTTGTAGGAGAAAACATTTATTAAAAAGTCGATTTAATTAAGTAGAACGTGTCGTCTATATGTATTTAAAGTTGCGTATTTTTTATGTGACGTCACATTTCTCACCCCCCCCCCCCCGTCACACATCGTCACAAATGTCTGACCCCCCCCCCCTTGGTGCGTGACGTCATTTATGGACGGCCCCTTTATTAACTACGTCTGCATGTAATTTAAGCAGAAGTCGATGTGATGTATGCAGGTATCGATGCCCTTAACCACGTGTGATTTACAGATGCAAGCGCACCTGGTAAATGGGACCACATCACACCCACACTTCCAATCCATCCACTGGCTCCCAATCCAATTCCGGGTAAATGTCAATATCTCTCTCAAGATTCTCAGTAGGTCCGCTCCAGTCTGCCTCATCTCGCTCTACTATCCCTCCACGCACTCTGCTGCTACCTCTCCCGTCACATCACACGTTAGGTACACCACTAACAGTGAAGTATGATAACTATGAGAGTGACTTTGTTTGACTGCCAAATTGACTCGACTGATCGTCACGTTTAGCTCTGCTCTCATCTACTAAGCTTCACACTCGGCGGACACTTCGAGACACAGCCTAGGTGCGGTGTCTACGATATAAGTGGGTCGCGTCTTCCATTAAACGCTTGCGATTCAATACAGGGATGATGGGGCCGTGTACCCCCATTCAAGGTCAATAGGTCATCACGACCAAAGCTGTTGTTGATGTCACGACACCTCGCAATATATTCCTTCTACCATACCCCGCATAAGTTGAATAGTGGACACGATCTCCAAGCTCTTCTCTTAGTCCCTCACTTATTAAGTTTTAGACTGACGCAGTGGATCTTATAGGGCCTTCCTCTAATATCAGGTGGCTCCCCCACCCCCTCCCAAACTGGTTGTCCCCTCTTTTGATTGTGCCTTAGGAATCATCGCCGCCGCTGCTGCTAGTTCCAAATTTTGGTTCAAGATTTATTTCACAAGAAAAAAATGGCTTTCTGTTGGATCACATCACCACGTTGATTCAAAGATGTTGGATACTTTTTTATACATTGATATAATTCATCGTCAGCAGCCATGATCAACCGACTGCCGGAGGAAGGCCTCTCACGGTCCTTCCTCCGAGATCCACAATCCCCTCTGCTATGGAGTCGAGGATTTCTGTTGGATTATAGAGCCACTTGGAACCCTTGACCCTATTGTGTCATTGTTACATTGCATCATTGTATAACCACGTGATATACATTTTATATTCGTGATCCTCTTTTGAAAAAGGGCCTTCCAAGTTGGATTTTGGAGATACGCCTATGAACAATTTGTGGGAAACGTCTAATGTCTCACCCTCATAAGCCATGGTCAAGCCACTGCTGGATACAGGCCTCCCTAATCCACTACCACCTCAAACGATCCTGCAATGTAACAATGCACCGAGCGCCCGCACAGAAACTGAATTCATCGCTTCATCTCCTTTGGCATCTCGGACGTGTTCCATTTCTTTGCCATCGATTACAGTATGTTTGTAATTGATGTCCTTTAACCGAGCGACATTCCACTGAGGTTCACGAACCCTTTTGCAATGGAGATCGTTGCTGCAGTTGGCTCATTGAGCCACGTGACTTCATTTAGATAAACCACGTGGTTCATTGCATGTGTGAAGATTGTGTTTCTGAATGCCCTTTATTTTTCCAGTCGGGAGCTCATTTAGATTTAAGAGGAAAACAAAGAACTGTGAAAAACAGAATAATAATATCAGTTTCATCGCGGAAACGGATGATGAAATGGAAGGATGGACATTGTACAACAATAACCGCATGATACATAATTGAAAAAGCATGTGACTTTCTTGCGAATCTTAATATCAAATGACACAGCTACACATCAAAATGTCCAGCCTGTCACATATAACTACAGTTTGAGTCGCTAGCCTGCTGTCACGACGACGACGATGATCAGCCGGCGTTGGTGGTAATGCATGTTTGTAATCCACGACAGTGGAGGCGAGGGTGGGTGGATCGCAAAAAACGTTGTAAAACCCCCTTTTCCGTGGGCGTTCGACGTGCTATATACCCTGGCTCGCCAAGAGAATGCAATTCATTACAAAACGTGGACTCTACCTGTTCGTCTGAATGGGATAGAGTGTTTCCCCCTTGCACGCGTGTGTTTTCTCCAGGTGGTCCGGTTTCCTCTCACATGTCAACGCTCATTAATTGGCCGATAACACCTTCATATATAGAGGACCGCAGAGCTTGGCCAGTTGTTGGCGCCGGCTCATCGCGTGGCGAGCCTCTCCACTTATCTGTGTTTCCTCCTCGCGATTTCTGAGTCGTTCTCTCCCTTCGAGAACGAGTGAATACTGTGCGCGTTATAAATTGAAATGATAATGGTGGTGGACCGCAGACGATTAATTAAAACGACGCAAGTTCCACAAGGCACTCCGGGTTGTTTTTTTTTGCTACGAAAAAATGTCTCGAAAGCATGCACAATAATAATAATAAACGTCGCCTGAACGTTGCCCGGCGGCTCGGCTCTTATATAAATATACGCGAGCGCAGATGGGTGTCGTGCTATCCAGACACGCAGCAGAGTGCACAAAGAAATCTGTCGGTTGTATTTTTTTGCGTTTCAACTCTTCTGTGTAAACGGCAGAGGTTGTGAGGCCGGGGACGTGTGTACAGATGATCGCACCTGTGTAAGCACGCGTGCTGTTTTAGAGTTTCCATTCGAGTGAAGCGAGTGCCACTATTCCAGGAGCACATCAATTTGTGGCACTGTTGGCCCCCTTTTATGAGAGACCGTCTGAGAACAACGTTTGTGCAGTATACGGTACATATACATTCATAATAGTGTCTGGCACCTTTGTTATTCGATTGCTCGATGAAGACCTCCCCACGCCGTGGCGGTGATGGGGGTTGTTTAACCATACTTCACCACGATGGTCAGAGCCGGTTGGGTGAAGTGGTGGGATCACTTGAACGGAAATCGAATTCAAGGGGCCGGGTTCATAGTGCAGTGTGCTAACCACAGCGCCACCGCTCAGGTTGGAAACACCTTTATATGTCTTGCAAAGAGTGTTTTACGTATGTCAGTGAAATCATCCTTTTTCTGACCGTTATGATATATCCGTCTTAAGTAACAACCCCAATGTAATATGTTTTGCTGTTGTGTTATTCAATCGCTTGAAACAAAGCACCGTGACCATCAACTCACTCCACCTGAGATCCAGATGATACCACGGGCTTGGTGAATTCATGTGCTAATTGCTAGCACCCTGGACTCGCAATCCATTTGAAACATCGGAGGACGTTTCACGAATCACCTCCGACTCTGCACACTCGGCATCAATCGGCAGCCATTCCGTCAGATCTCAGAAGCTCAGCCGGATTGAGCCTGGAATTAGTGTGCTCTGATGGGCGGCCTCCGTGCATGTGTCTGCCATAAACTTTGCGATGCTACGTGGTGGGTAGCAGAGGGCAGTGCGACACAATTCGTTGTACGAATCGTGTTATACTGCACTGGTATGGCCCCGTGGAGCCTAGGGTTTGGTGGTGAAGCACACGCGTGTTGCGAAACTCCCTCCCCGTGGGTGTCGAGGTGCCATGCCCTGGCTTTCCAGGAGAAGGGCGGGTAGAGTGGACTCAACTCGTTCCGTCTGCGTGGGATACAGCGTTTCCCTCTCGCACGCGTCAATTGTATCCGGGTATCCCGGTTTCTACCCACATGTAAACACTCGTTATTTCCCGATAACGCAGACCCTTGGCAATTGTTGACTGTTACTATTCGCATTACAAGTTGAAATGACGATTATCATCGAGCCTGAGTTTGTTTATCTCCGTGCAGGCTTGGCCGTTAGGTCACACAGGAGGTTATATTGATGCTTGGCACGGGTGACCACCAGTTGTTGCCAGGTGCTATAGAAGTGTTGCTGGGAGGTGCTTTGAGGTGGCAGCACAGAAATTGCGTGCGTTCCACAGACAGCTTTGGTTCACTCGCTCAATCGAGTCGGTTCATTTAATCTGTATTTGCGGAGCGCTGAGTGCTATTACCCGCACACGAGTAGGCTTTCTCCGGATACAACCGTTTTCTCCCCATTCACTTGTGCTCTCGAAGGTCTGGAGATGAAGAGACGAGATCAGCTCACACGAAGAAGCGAGATGGATCGGTGGCGTCACAGGACCGTGAGAGATGGCGATGACATGGGGAGGCCTTCATCCAGCAGCGGATACATGATGATCCTGTGGCCAAACTACCCCGGAACGCCCGTGATCTCGTCAGATCTCAGAAGCTAAGCAGGTTGTGCCTGGTTAGTGCATAATGTGTTACAGGGATGCTGCTGGGCTGCGTTATGAACAGCAGAGCAGAGTATTTTCCAGCAAAATCCAATGTTGAACGTACTTCTATGCTCCCGCGGCTATGCCCCCATCTCCCTCCCGTCCAGCCTTAACAAATCCGCACTGCCCAGCGTGGTGAAATATCGTCAAATGACCCCTGCAACCCACACTGCGTGGCGGCGGGAGAGCGGCGTGGGTGCTGGTTCAGATACCACTCACCACCGATGTAAGCCTTGGCCGCTCATCGAACTCACGTTGCTGGGTTTACGGCGCAGCGCGCTCAACCGCTGCGCAAAACCGGCTCCACTCGAAGCTCCGTCATTACCCCGGGTGATGTCCCACTTGGCTCGGGAAATGTGTAAACGATGAAGCAATAATGACATTAACTATTCAGTCGAATTATACAAAACACAACAAAGGATAGTGCAGGGGTTGGGGAGCGGGGGTGTCTTGAAAGTGGAGCTGTAAAATAATAATAAGCGCCCCATCTGCGCTATCCAGTGGCGCTTAATGAAAAGTTGTTTTTAAGTGGTGGGCCCATTCATACAACACCAACCCCACGACGCCCACACCACATTACCGTAATGAGATATCGGCACAAAACATGCGTTTGATTGGGCAATGATGACACAAGCCTCGATATATATAGTTTGAGGGCCACCAGTATATAAGGATTATTTGTCTCTCTGTACGTGGTACAAATCAGCCTCGACGCGACTCTTACGTGTCGACAAAGTACAGCAGATATACTCACAAAACATTTCATTGCGGGTTCGCACGGTTGGCTACGGACGGTGCGAAAGAAGTTCAGCATACTACATACATACGAAACTACTTGGCATTAACGGGTAACGTGTAACGGGACAGTGTACGTAGAACACAAGTTGCTGCTGCTGGTTGTTGCAGGCACATATATAGATTTATAGGGCTAAAGCTTACAAGATCTATATTCTGTACCAAGTATTCTTCAGTATCGTCCGTCCTGTATTGACGGTGGCTATGATGGCTTTGGAGCGGCTGAGAGGTATACGCGATGGTGAGTATTATTTCTATTTCAGACTGTTTATCTCATAGGTAGGGTATAGACGCATTCCCTGCATTTTTTGAGCCCGAGGAAAAGCGACGCGCTCGCCGGCGCTGATGGCAATTCCTCGCAGCAGCGGACGTGGTGGAGTGGCGAGACTCGTACGTGGTGTGTGTGTGTGTGCGCGTCTGTCTGTCTCTGTGTGTGTGTCTCTCAGTCGTAATGTACGATAAGAAGTGATTTGTACAGATAACCTAATTTAACACCAAAGCGCAGTGATGTTAATGTATATTCGCTGTACCCTTGAGCGGTTTTTCACTCGTCTTTAAAATGAAAGCAGTTAGTTTGATGATGATGATGATGAGTACTAAACAGTATTGTGATTATGTGCACGTGCGTTTGCATGTTCGGTGAATATTTGGTTGAATTTGAATAAGACGCCGAGAAGTTGTATGGTTGTATTTGCATGCGATGTGTCCGTGTTGAATTTCACTGCCTGCAATAGATGATGACCTATCTACAAGATAAAATTCAGTGACAGTCACTGGCGAGACCAACCTCTCCACCTTGGATTTTAACGCTGCAACTTTGCAGCGATTTTAAAACCCCAGTAACTAAAAAAAAAAATGTGTAGCCTATTACTTATTTGTGCCTGCCTGAATTTTAAAAGTTCAGAATTTTGCTTGGGGAGAGGGTACTGTTTGCTGCTGCTGAACGTAATTATAACTCAGCTCAGGTAAGGCTATTTACGTGGAGTTTTATTTAATTTTATTAAATCTTGTATGTGTAGTTATTTTAAATGAGATTATCACCGATTGACACATATGAACAAATAAAATCAACTTTTAATACATTAGTCAGTGACACTCTGGCTTTACAAAGACAAATATAATAAGCGACATTTAAGGGCATTGGCCCTTTTCACAGCACCTACAGAGGTCAGAGAGGTAGCCTAAGTGCTCTGAGGAAGGGTCGTTGCCCGAAACGTCACAATATTAAGACAAATAGTCATATTTTCTAAGGAGACCCGGTAAATATGAAGCGAGACAGTGTGCCCGACCTAATGCCAGATTCACTGCAATGTGCAGTCAAGCAATGCCGAGGGTAATTGATCATAATTTTAAACCTAAAAGAAACAAAGTGAAATATTTAGATAGGTATTGCATGAGGTATTTTATATATCTTTAAATGATGTGCATTCCTAGTATCCGAGTGGTTGATCTAATCGTCCGTTAAACACATTGAGATAGAGTGACTATTTGTAAATTGAAATAATTATGATTTCAACTTGTAATACGCCACGGCACAGTATCCGCTCGCTCTAGTAGAAAGAGGACGTCTTAGAGGCGCGAGGAGGAGGAACCACAGACCGAGGCAGCCACGCGATGAGCCGGCGCTAACAATTGCCCAAGCTCTGCGATCCTCTATGTAATGAAGGAGTTATCGGCCAATTAATGAGTGTTTACATGTGGCGAGGAACCTAAAGCACCCGGAGAAAACCCACGCGTGCGAGGGGGAAACACTCTATCCCATACGGACGGCACTTGTGGAGTCCACATTTATTTTTTGCTGTACTGCCTTCTCCTGGCAAGCCAGGGGTATGGCCTTCTCCTGGCAAGCCAGGGGTATGGCCTTCTCCTGGCAAGCCAGGGGTATGGCCTCCTGGCAAGCCAGGGGTATGGCCTTCTCCTGGCAAGCCAGGGGTATGGCCTTCTCGGCGGCCCACGGGAAGGGAGTTTAGCAGCATTTGTGCGATCCACCAATCCTCGCTGCTGTCTCCACAGTGCTGGATTACTGGACGTGCGTTGCAGCCACCGCCCGGCTAAATCGCCAGACACAATAAGGTCCCACGTGTAAGGATGATCAACCCTTGAAAAAATAAAAGTTACAGAATTTCGTATTTAGTTGGCGGAAGACGGAATGCTCATAATAAAATGCCGTAGTGCCAATTGTTTACTCAGGAAATCGTCTGAGTCTCAAAATTCTTACCGATGTTTGATAAATAAATAATTTTAAGTAACAAGGGATTGCTTGTCACAGGTGAAACATTACTCGATTAACTGTAGTTGTGACAATTGCCCATTTTAGCCCTAAAATCACTATTTATTGATAGTGGGGTAGTACTATCGTTAGTTGTGTCTGTAAGCGTGTGTGAGCGTGCAGCACTTGCCCCAACAGTATGTTTAAGGGGGGATCTTTTTTTAAGGGGGGGTCTTTTTTATGAGCGTGCGCTACGAATCCGGCGACCCGAGTTCGATTCCCGCTCACGGCCAACACGAGTGACGATTATCTGAACCGATCTTGGGCTTCCCCTAGGTGGCTTCAGCGTCAAATAAGTACCTGGAGCGGTGTGTAAACATCGCCACTGGGGAGACAAAGGCGGCCGGGCATGGTGCTGGCCACCCACCCCCTCGTGTACCGTTCCGGCCTTCACAGGTGCTCACTAACAGCACTTGCCCCAACAGTCTATTACAGGCTTAACGGGGGATGTTTGTGTTTGATTGTAAGTGAAGAGCCCGTGGTATAGAGGTTAGCACGCACCGTTACGAACCCGGCCACCCGAGTTCGATTCCCGCCTACAGCCAACAACATTGATTATCTGAACCGGTCCTGGGCCTCCCCCCTCTGTTGGATCAGCCATAAGCCAATACCTGGTCTGGTGTGTAAACATCAACATTGGGGAAACAAAGGCGGCCGGGCGTGGTGCTGGTCACCCACCCCCCTCGTGTGCCGTTCCGGCCTTCATAACAGCACTTTCCCCAACAGTCTGCTAAGCCAATAAGGGGAATCTTTGTCTTTTGGGGAGCAATAAGTGATGTATTGGCACTGTGCAACGAACCCGGCGACCCGAGTTCATCTCATGACCAAAATCAGTGACGGATAGAAATGAACCGGTCCTGCCTTAAATGAGTACCTGGTGCGATGTTTAAGGCATCAGCATTGGGAAGGCAAAGGCGGCCGGGCGCGGTGCTGGCCACCCACCTCCTCGTGTGCCGTGCCCACCGGGCTAGGAACTTCACAGGTGCTTTCTAACAGCACGTGATGTTCGGCTACAATGGGGTGGGAGGAGGAGGAGGAGGGGGTGTTGATCTTTATATACAGGGTGCTTCAACAACAACAAAAAATGTTAACACTTCTGAGAATTTGCAACAACACCGCAAGCAATGTGCCGCCGCCTCCGGGCTCTGGAGACCACCTGGAGACGATTCCCAGGCACCACGCGTTGACAACGACGATGGCGAACACGTGGGAGAGACTCTCTCAAATTTTGAAGCTACAAACACACATTTGTTACCACGTTACAGTGTGGGTGTGTGTGTGTATATATCCGTTCTTTTCCCCATTAAAAAAAAACCGCTCAGTGTTGAAAAAACTAATTTTGAAGCACCCTGCACTATCTACGCACGGGGTGTCCGGCGCTATCGGCTCTCGCTCATGCCGTGCCATCTCCGTCTCTCGCTGTGCAGACTCGTCCGGGAGGCGCGCGGTGAAGACGATGTTCGCGTCGGAGTGTCATCCTGGGTGCGCGGTGCGCGCCGCGGCTCTGCTCTGCCTGCTGTCGCTGATCAACAGCTCGAGTGGGCTGCCAGCGGACTCGCGCAACACGGGCCTCCAGTGAGCGACATCCGCACAGAAATAGAGAGAGAGAAAAAAAAAGACGAAAGATCTCTTCGTCTGAACAAACTGCCGGGGCAAAGTGCCGTTAGCGAGCGCCTGTTAAGGCCCGGCACGGCACACGAGGGAGTGGGGTGGCCAACGCCATTGCCCCCGCCGGCCTTTGTCTCCCCAGTAGCGATGTTCGCACATCGCACCAGGTACTCATTTGAGGCTGAGTCGACCTAGGGGAGACCCAGGACCGGTTCAGATAACCGTCACCGGTGTTGGCCGTGAGCGGGAATCGAACCCGGTGTCGCCAGGTTCGTAGCGCAGCGTAGCGCTAACCGCTGCAACGCCGCTCCCCACACACACACACAAAGACACAAAGACAGACACACACAGACACTCACAGACAAATACTTGTTGGAGGCAAGTTGCCGTTTGCGAGCAGCGCCTATGATGAAGGCCGGCACGGTGCATGACAGGGGTGGGGTGGCCAGCACCACGCCCGGCCGCCTTTGTCTCCCCAATGTTCATACACCTCACCAGGTTATTTTATGTACCTGGTGCGAGAGGGGGAAACACTCTATCCCATTTTAACACGTAGGCTTTCGCGACCATTCCCCTGGAATGAACGAACTCTATCCCATGCCACGAGAATGCAGTACAGCGAAAATGTGAGTGCACATTTTCGCTGTGCTGCATTCTGAAAATGTGAGTCTGCATTTTCGCTGTAACGCATTCCCCTGGCAAGCCAAGGGTACGGCACCTCTACGTCCACAGAATGGGAGTTTTACAACATTTGTGCGATCCACCAATCCACACCTCCTCAGTGCTCGATTACAGGCGTGTGCCATCTCCGCCCATCACGCTTATACTCACAAATATTATCTCACAGACAAAGATCCCCCGTATAGAATTAATAGACTTTTGAGGCAAGTGCTGTTAGCAAAGTAGCACATATGAAGTCTGGCACTGCACGCGAAGTGGTGGGTGGCCAGTACCAAGCCCTGCCACCTTTGTCTCCCCAGTGGCGATGTTTACACATCGCACCAGGTACCCATTTGAGGCTGAGTCGATCTAGGGTTGGCCCAGGATTGGTTCAGACATTCGCCCTTGGCCATCAATCGAACTCCGGTCGCCGTGTTTGTCGTGAACCACTAAGCTACAGTCCCACCCACAGAGACGCACGCTCACAGACGCACTTAGTCATTCACACATTCACACACTGATACACGCTAAACACAGACACATTCACACATTCACAGACACAAACTCAAACACAATCACAGACTTATACTTAGTCATCACATCATAGACATTAACCCACTCACAGAGACACAGAGGCACACCTAAAATCACATTCACACACTTGTCACATTCATACACTTGTACACATAGACATTCACGCAGTCAAACACACAAATTCATATTCAGATCCTCAGGGTCGCAGAAACACACAGAGACACACATTCATGCATAGGAAGACACTCAAATATGTACATGCACATTCAGACACACAGACGCTCACAATTGTCCATATAAGAATACTCACAGACTCACACACATAGCAATCACACTTTTACACACAATCATAGATTAATTCAAATATAACCATTCAATCAGACACTCACAGTTATACACATGGCCACACGCAAAGCCTTTTACAGACTGTTGGGGCAATTGCTGTTAGCGAGCACCTATGAAGGCCGGCACGGCACACAAAGGGGGTGTGTGGTCAGCACCGCGCCCGGCCGCCTTTGTCTCCCCAACGCTGATGTTTACACACCACATCGGGTCAACATTTAAGGCTGAGTCGACATAGAGGGAGGCCCAGAACCGATTCAGATATTCGTCACTGGTGTTTGTCGTGAGCAGAAATTGAACTCAGGTTCGGAGCGCAGTGTCTGAACTACTGCACTACCGCTCCCCGCATGCATTCACGCACACTCACAGACAAACATAAATGTACATAAATGTACACACAACATTCCATGGCGTTACTGCTCAAAGCACATCCTGCAATACTCACATTCATTTGGTGTTGCACTGCTGATGGGTTAATTTCCACGTTCCTATGGCAGGGACCAACGTATGATCTTTTAGATTGAGCCGAAACTCAAAACTCTTCGCGTGATCGACCCATTTTGACTCAATTTTATCTTTAATGTCTCGAACTCTACACTTGTATTTAAACCCGCGACAGTGGAAGCTCTGATCGTCTGTCTTCAGACAGGAGGAGCTAATTGAGACAACCAGTCACAGTCTCTTATGCGAGAGACACCCAGCGACCAATAAAAGATGGTGCAGTATAGAGACACGAAGCTGTATCTCTAACGCTTGATTCGTCCCTTGAATTCCAGGGCGTTTAAATGATTCTGAAACGAGCTGGATCAAGTAGCAATGGTGGTAGGGGGGAGGGGGTAATGTGAAGTATTCAAAGGAGCTAATGAAGGCTTATACGGTAATTTAGGGGGCACAGCATGCTGACCACTCCTGCCGCCACCATCTAAAGATTTGGGGGGGGGGGTGAGCTTTCCCACTCTGCCCCCCCCCCCCCCTGTGTTCCCATCATTGCCTATGCTTGGATTTGTCGTGGTGGTGGTGGTTGGTTGGTTGGTGGTGCACTACAGTAACCCAGCACTTACGAGTCGAGAGGTGGTGGATGATGGAGAGTTGCTGAAAGTCCAAAATCCCGCTGGACTGCGAGCCTGGCCAGAGGATTGGTGTGCAGCAAACGGGTTGTGCGTCCGTACGTTTGAACTTTTGAGCGTTTCCCCCTCTGTTACATGGGGCGTTTACTCTCCGGGTACACTCCGGTTTCCTCCTACACTGCAAACCCTTTTTTGGTTTGATGAAACTCACGCATAACGAGGGCGTTGAAGGTGATCTTTGTTTAAATGAAATTATTGTAACCACAATGCAGATATAAATATAATAAGACAATGCGTATAATATCAGAGTTTTTGTTTGCATGCTCACCACAAGTATATGTGGGTAATGCAGACATGATTCCTTGCAAAATGTTTCAGTTTGGTGTGTTAACATATTAACACAACTGTTTTATTGGCAAAAAGGGTAAAACCTATTCTTATGAAATGATTGTAGCTATTTGTCGGTTATGATTCGTTATTATAATTACTTAATTATTATCATTCAAATGCATAATTATTTAATTAAATGCCGTTAAAGATAACGAAATTATTAATTATCATTATTTCATTTTTATAATTACAGTAATTAATGATTTCGTTATATTACCTATGACCAAATCATCGTGAACGCTCTGAATGCTATCACATCTTGAAGGCTGTGCAGGTTTAGCACGTGAATTATATCATTCAATCTATCTTCTTCAGATCTCTGAGTCGTCTCGTTCCCTTGCGTGTGTATCCTGGTGTCTTCTGACCGGCTAAACAATTCGCAATCAAGTTGCGGCGTTCTATAATCATTGTTGTTCAACGACTACTTAACCGCACTTTAAACTTCTTTCACGTGACGGTGCGTCTTCCGATTGTCTCTCTCCCCGCGCAACGACCCGACAGACGCCGTTCCGTGGCCGAGCAACAGTTCATGCACGACAAGGGCCGCGTGCTTCAGGAGCTGGGCCGCCGCCTCTGGGTCCAGTCCGTGGTGGGCGAGGTGCACACGGCCATGGGACGCGATGCCAACCGCGTGGCCTCCCACGCCCCACGATCCCTCGCAGCCGCCGCCACAGATGCCGCCGGTGCAGCCTCCTCCACCCACTTGATCCCCTGGGGGGGAGCCCGCTCGGCTGACCCCGCCGCCGTCGCCGCCGTCGCCGCCGTCGGGCACCCCCCGATTAAGAACCCGGCGTCCGGGAAGGCGCTCGCCCATCGGCGCGCGCTGTCCCTGCAGGAGACGGACGCCAACGGCCCCACGTGGAGACACGGGAAGGCGGCGGCGGCGGCGGCGGCGGCGAGCAAAGGGGTGGCCAGGCTGCACGCGTCGCGCGAGCTGGGCAAGGGGGCGCGCAACGCGAGGTCCGTCACGGTCGCGAGGTCCGGCCCGTGGCGTTAATGCGAGCGGGCGAGCGAGCGAGCAAATTTGCGAGCCCACGTAGAAGTTGTACATGGACCACATTTATTACGCGGCGATATTCGGGCACGCGGTGTCGCGGGCGATGTCCCATCGGCAGTGCGCCTACTGGCGTCAATTTAGTAAATCCCCTTTCCGTGACAATGTCTCCGCATGAAAGTAGAATACCCAGCTTCTTTGGGGCTCATCAGCAGTCAATCATGCTAAACAAATGCAGATGTTATCGGTACGTGCCCTCTGTCTCTCTCTATGCCATGGGCAGTTCGTAAAAAACAAATATTTGGAGTGCATTTTGCACTGATGGCCCATGATGTTGAAAGAAGACACTTGACCCTGCTGATAAGCCCTAGTAGGGCAAAACCAGTTCAAAGTTTACGTGTTTATTCAAAATGCTGCCGATTAACACAAGTCTCGATGCCGAATAGGCCAAAGTAAAAAAACACATACTATTTGTTTTATGTGGAAATGCGTAACGTCAGATGATTGATTTAAGCTACTAGCCTTATTCATTAGAAATCCACGGCAGCAGTGATATTAATTGGTGGCTCACTAATGCCAGTGATGGTATGTATATAATGGTCTTCGATTATTTAGTTCATTGCCATTAACTTTATTTATAATGCACAATTCACCAAACAGGATGCAATGCACAGCCACCAGAATCATAAACATATACGTGTAGTAAAGGATGGAGATCTGGAATAGACATGCGCTAAAGGGGAAAATACATTCAAAGACCGCTGAGAGTCAGTGCGGTAAAACTAGTCAATGTAAAAAGCAGAAACGAATCATAACATACACACTGTGTAACAAAATAAATAGGGAGGACCCGTAAACACAATTAGTTCGGATTAAAGACAGATTAAAGCAACCGGCGACACCCCCCCCCCCCCGTAATACCGTACGGCAAATGAATCAATCATATTTCTAAAAGTAGAACCGCGTAGCAGCCTGCAAAACAAAAAGGCAATTGAGGACTGCCGCGGATTTCTTTGAGCACCGTTGATGCAGATTGCCGGAGTGAGGCTGAGAATCGCCGCTGCCTTTGTCGTCGAAGGCCTTCCTCACGCGACCTCCAACGAGGGTCATCGAGACGTGAACACCCTTTTTTTTGCGGCCGAGAAACGCAAGGGGGCCGATGTGCCACTGCAGGTCATTCAGAGAGCTCAACTCTCTACCACACTGCCATCGGCCCCCTGGTTGTGTTTGTTTTTGGGTTATCCACAACCATTACTCGGGGTGTAACGGTCACGTTGATTCATCGGTTGACGTCGATTCTTCAGCTCGCGCAACACGCGTTGATTCGCGCGCATGACAGCGTTTCTGGTCGCCTTGCAATGGTTTGGCGTGACTACACCAGCCGCCAGAGACCGCTACATTCGCCACAATGTAAAAAAACAAAAACGTATAAGCGAACTCCTGAATTGAACGTCGTGACGCTGAATCCCAACAGATATATATTTACCCCTTGTCATAACGCAGTAAGCATGTTGCATCCGGCTTTAGCGCAATAGTTGGTCCCATTCATTGACTTACTGGTGTAGCGATCGAGTTGGGGGTCTCAATCTCATTGCTTGCACCCAGGGCCCGTGTCAGACAGGGACCTGCCACTCGTTCATTAGGCACGTTAATGAAGCAGCGAAACCTTTAGGAGCCAAATGTATGTACGTTGAACTTATTTCACCCCGTACGTAGCCAATCGAAGTTGCGGGGGAAGGACAACAAACCAAACACAAAAAGCAATTCTATTATATATATTTTTTCAATCTAAATTTAAAAGTGCATAGCTCCAGTGGCTTCCTAACATCGCAAGAAAGAGCGTTCCAGACGCCAAATGATGCGCAGAATCCAACAGTGATTTCTCACGTGTTAAATTACCTGTTTGTGAGGTTTTACACAGCTGTCGATGGGAGTACAAGGGGTACATGGGCTTTGTGCCTTGTTTAATTGCGTTACACTGATAACAGAGTTTCTGACAGTTTAATAGGACTATAAATTGAGAAACGCCTCTCATAGAACAATGTTGGGTAGGGGTGCCAATTGTCCTCGAGCCTTGAGATGTTTGCGAGTGATTGTCGCGTTAGAACTGCAATACCTTCTTGCAACATGTTCCTACAGAGCCACTTTAAGGATCAAAACTCGGCCGATGATGGTGTGATAAGCAAATGACGCCTCCCGTTAGACATAATTCGGGCTTAATGCTCTAATTGTATAAAGGTGATGTATACATGTTAAAGAACGAGAGATATCCTCAACCTTATTATAAAACTTACAATGTCACTGCCTTCTAAAGCCTATCACATGCCGACTTTAGGGGGCGTATTGTACCTAATAGGGGGCTTGCGCTACGAATCACACGTGAAACAGCGTCGCAATTTCCGACCGTCTTATACGTCACAAAATAATGAGATGATTCATTTAGAGCTGATTGCGGTCTCATTAAAAGCCACCTAGTATAGCCTTATGCGACCATAACAAATTATATATTTTTCTCATCAAATTACAATATTAAATTTATCATTTCTTAGGCGTTGCTATACAGTCGACAGACCATACCTTGTAGATTTTTTGGAACCACAATAACACAAGCTTATAAATGGTTAGTGGCTGCAAAACCCCTTTGTCAACCTTCTTTACACAATTGGCGGTCGGTCTCTCGTTTTCTGCTGCTGATGGTGCTCCCCAAATCTGGAACTCTTTCCCCTCATCGTTCAAATTCGGACTCAAGACCTTCCTCTTCTCCTGAGTCAATGACTGACTGACTGACTCTCTTCTCTGACTGGCTGACTCTCTGTTAAGTGTCTCTGGCTGCTGCTACCTTACACACAGCATCACCTTTCGGTGGTTCCCATGATGCGCATCCTAATATTTCCAATCGATCGATCGATCCATCAACAAATTATTTTTTGAGACCATGTGACAACACAAATACAAGTTTATTAAACATGTGTTAATAATAACAACAGTCTAAAAATATCATACAGGTTTGGAATATGAAATGAGAGAGAAAATCATACCCTTGAATTAGTGTTTTGCACAAACTATCTCCAGAAGTTCTATCGTAGCTAGCAGGCCTCCACATTGTTATATATCTCTTGAACATATTGGCATACAGAATAATAACATTTAGCACAGCATCTTGCTTGTGATGCAGTTGCATGTATACACTCTACACTAATATATTGTATTTCAATTGCAACTGCAGCTTAGGTTTTTAGAGAGCCTAAATTCGACTGCCATCTCACATTGGCGGACAACGAAATAATCTGATCACATGGGCATCAAAAGGACCATGGGTATAGCAACTGCATCTTGTAGAATTTGGGAACCACAACAAAACAGGAGTTTGTTCAAAAGGGGGGTGGTTGAGTGGAGCTGGGAGACCGCAGGGCAGTGAAGACAGACAAACGTACGACAGGGTATGGCATAAAGCATCTCATTGAAAGGAGACGGTCATCGTTGGGCATTGGTGCTAATCGCACCTTCCGATTAGCACGGTGGGCTACGTACGGTGCGAAAGAAGTTCAAAATACATACGTAGGTTAAAAAAAAAGTTTGGTCTTGAGTCCGGAGTTTCGTTTCACGTGATGGGACTCTTGGTGGATGTCACGGCGAGGAGCCTCACTGGAACCGCGCATCTCCTTACCCGGCGATATCTTACCCTTGTCCCATGCTGTGCTCCACTATCGCCTCTGACCCGAGCGTTACGCTTGTGCGTTCGATCGTGAACGTTTTTGTGTCGTTATTATTTGATGCGTACAATGTGTACTTATGATTTACATGTTTGATCGTGAGTGTGCTAATTGAGCTGCGCGCATCACTGCCAACGTGCGTGCAACGTCAATATGGTGAGGTTATTTGTGTGTGCGTGTGTATTTGTGTATTATATAACGTGTGTTATTTCTGTTAAAGCTATACAGGGCAATCTTTGTCTTTATTTAATGACAACTGGTAAATCTACAAAAGGCTGAAATATTGGGAACGGTGGTGTTAAAGCAAGGAGTGGAGTGACATTTTAATTATCAGGGTCATTAGACTCATCACGTGCAATATAGGCTGTCCGCGGTTGAGTACCTTTAAATTAGCTGCGTTTTCACGTTGACATTTCATTTAGGAATAAAGCAATCCTCATACTCAATGAACTCTCAATTCAACATAATAACACTGCCTTCAAAGGAAAAGTATATAATAGGCGACGCTTCCATACTCATTGGCAAATGAGAAGAGTTCATTTGTACATTTAAGCTCTAGAAATTGTTACATTGGGCTATTGCAATATTTTTGTCTGCGCAAACGAAAACTCACTGAATAGTTACCAGTCTGGCATACACTCTACATCATATGCAAGACAGTAGAGGGACAACTAAACAATTCAAGTTAGGCTATTTAGAATTTCCAGTCTGAAATTTCCAGTCCCAATGACTCCTGCACACTCGCCAACCCTACCGATGGAAGCGGTGTACGCCTATTTAAAATCCTTATACCGCATACTCAGAGTAGCTTCACATTCAAATTTTGTTAAAAATTGTTTTATCACGTATTTGTTTTGAATATTATGCGGTAAAAGGAATTTTTAAAAAATAGGCTTCCTCCAGCTTAAATTGTCAGGGTGGGCGATTGCATTATTGTCTGAATTTTAAAATGTCTCCAGGGGAGTGGAGTAAGAGGCCTACGTGGGGTAAAATTAATTTTTGTCCTGGCGCTCACCACACGTGGCTTTTCTGTTGAGCTGCAAACACCAGCAGCAAGCACGTGCCTCTGGAGGAGAGCACTAGTTGGCACTTCAAGCTGATTGTGGCCGATGGCATGATTATTTCAGTACCGGGACAAAAAAGGCTTTTTTTACCATCGAACATAGTATGCCTCTCACAACATCCTACCATATCAAATAATTTTCGGTCTAACCTGAAATGTTAGTTTTTTTTTTATGAAGAGCGGGAGACAATTCCAGTTGATTTTCTTGCAGTGTTCGAGGGTATTCGAACTTGGTTGTGTGTTTGGCCAATGTTCAGCTAACTTGCACGGTGAACACGCGCATCATCGATCGGTCAGTGTCAAGACGGGCGATTCTCTTACGTGGCAAAGTTTCTCGCAAATGTTCAAGACAGTTCCCAAGGTCCTACATGCCTCGAGGATATTACAATAATTCTCCTTATTTCTCGTTTTAATCCAGCACTCGTACCTGAACATTTTTTAGTTCGTTTTTGTACTTTAAATGATGACTTATTTATGTATTTATTTATTTATTAACTTATTTCTTTTCATTTTTGCTGGCTGGTTAAATGATTAAAGAATATGTGCACGCAATTTGGACCGCAGTCGAGTGGTGCTGTTTTTTTTTAGAATACATGATTTTTCAAGTCCTCTTTAAGTGCAACAAACATCTATTGTTGTACTATACTTCTATACTCCCAAGACCATGCTCCCCATCTTCACCAACCCCACATTGACCAGCATGGTGAAGTATGGTCAAATAACCCTCGGGACACACACATCATAGGGAGGCCCTCATCCAGCAATGAATTAACAAAGAAGCTGCACAAGTGAAGACCAATAAAATCAAGCTAAGCAAGAATAATAATCAAACAAGGCGAAACATTCAGGCCTTCGTAATTTCAATATGCCACAACTATAGTGAATAACAAGCACATGGTGAAAACAATTCCTTGATTATTGGGTGTAACGACGCATCATAAATCGATCGGTATTGATTGCGATGCAGCCCACTTTTTATCATGTTTATTCCAGAATGTTCCCACAGTTTGACGCACCGTGAAATCGATGCTTTACTTTTTTCATTCATTTACTCCACATACTCGTCGAAAAAATCCGCCTACCTTCTGGACAATGAGATGTCATTGGTCGTTTTTAAAGCCACGCTCTCTTCTTATTCTTCTCTTCCTCGTATGGCGAGGAATTGATCAGCAATGTTCACACGTTCGTGTGGAGGTTGGTAAATGAGCCAGTGAACAGGTCCTGGAGTAGCCTTATGGTGAATGTCTCAAATGCTGCCCGCGAATGTCGAAGTTGCCAGTGGCGTTACTACGTGGTTCATGGTTCGAGATTGGTGACCGTGACCGCACTCTGGGATATCCATAATTATCGGAGATAGTCGCCTCTGTCGTGCAGATAGGCGCAACGGTGGTGAGATGTTAATTGCCTCGCCTGGTATACAGGAGGTCGTGGGTTCCATCCCGACCCTGGCGCCCGCCTGTATATTTGGAATTTGAATGTTCTCCCCGTGGTCGTGTGGGTTTTTCTCTGGGTCCTCCGATTTTCCCTCCACATGTATAAACATGCGTTAAGAGTATTTGATTGCTATAAATTTCCACATATCATTTGTGACCAAGTCGCTTCTGAAAAAGAGCTATATATTTTAGTGGGCCTTACCTCGTAAAATAAAAAGTTAAAATAGTATTCTGATCTGGTTCAACACAAAGCCACTGTTAGCAGGGAATGTCGAAACTGGTAGGTTCAACCCCTGGGGTCGGGATGAAGTGCTCCATCGGGACTGTGGCATTATCCCAAGTTGCTCCCCACGGAGCCTCGGGATTGAATGAGGGCACTTTGAGGGCTTACACTCGATCCGTAAAATCGCTGTTGCCACGAATTCAAACGTCGGGCGCTCTCGGATGTTGCTGCCTGCAGGGAGCGCCTCCTGGTGGATCACGTGCCCCAATGCAGGAACAGCAAGGAGGAACAACTCAAACCCCGAGTTGAGTTTGTTTAACCAGATGAGAAATTAAGAGATGACCTCTGATATTTACGGTCGTGGGGCAGAGGTATCTCAAGTGAGCAACACAAATAAAGTTCAATACGGCAGCTGCAATCCCAGTGATTTAACACAGCGCAAACTATGTTGATATCATAGCCAACACGAAAATGTTCACTCGACCAGGTGATAACTCATTGAAACAACAAAATCGTGAACAAAACGGACAAAAACCTCAATCAGCCATGATAAATCCACCGCTGGATGAAGGCCTCCCCATTTCGTCGCCATCCCTGACGACCCTGCGATGCAACAATTCACGCAGCACCTGCACGAGCTGATTGCATCGCTCCATCTCCACGGTGGAGATCCTCACCATCCCTTGGTTGCCACTGCTTCGTTATTCTCAACCACCGGCCATCGTCCCTGGGCAAGCAACAAATATAGTGGGATTACAGCGCAAGACTATTTTACATACGTATCTCTCTGTCTGCCATGTCTCACTTGCAACATACAGTGAGGGGAACAAGTATTTGATCCCCTGCTGATTTTGTACGTTTGCCCACTGACGAAGAAATGATCAGTCTATAATTTTAATGGTAGGTTTATTTGAACAGTGAGAGACAGAATAACAACAAAAAAATCCAGAAAAACGCATGTCAAAAATGTTATAAATTGATTTGCATTTTAATGAGGGAAATAAGTATTTGACCCCTCTCCAAAACATGACTTAGTACTTGGTGGCAAAACCCTTGTTGGCAATCACAGAGGTCAGACGTTTCTTGTAGTTGGCCACCAGGTTTGCACACATCTCAGGAGGGATTTTGTCCCACTCCTCGTTGCAGATCTTCTCCAAGTCATTAAGGTTTCGAGGCTGACATTTGGCAACTCGAACCTTCAGCTCCCTCCACAGATTTTCTCTGGGATTAAGGTCTGGAGACTGGCTAGGCCACTCCAGGACCTTAATGTGCTTCTTCTTGAGCCACTCCTTTGTTGCCTTGGCCGTGTGTTTTGGGTCATTGTCATGCTGGAATACCCATCCACGACCCATTTTCAATGCCCTGGCTGAGGGAAGGAGGTTCTCACCCATGATTTGACGGTACATGGCCCCGTCCATCGTCCCTTTGATGCGGTGAAGTTGTCCTGTCCCCTTAGCAGAAAAACACCCCCAAAGCATAATGTTTCCACCTCCATGTTTGACGGTGGGGATGGTGTTCTTGGGGTCATAGGCAGCATTCCTCCTCCTCCAAACACGGCGAGTTGAGTTGATGCCTAAGAGCTCCATTTTGGTCTCATTTGACCACAACACTTTCACCCAGATGTCCTCTGAATCATGCAGATGTTCATTGGCAAACTTCAGACGGGCATGTATATGTGCTTTCTTGAGCAGGGGGACCTTGCGGGCGCTGCAGGATTTCAGTCCTTCACGGCGTAGTGTGTTATCAATTGTTTCCTTGGTGACTATGGTCCCAGCTGCCTTGAGATCATTGACAAGATCCTCCCGTGTAGTTCTGGGCTGATTCCTCACCGTTCTCATGATCATTGCAACTCCACGAGGTGAGATCTTGCATGGAGCCCCAGGCCGAGGGAGATTGACAGTTCTTTTGTGTTTCTTCCATATACGAATAATCGCACCAACTGTTGTCACCTTCTCACCAAGCTGCTTGGCAATGGTCTTGTAGCCCATTCCAGCCTTGTGTAGGTCTATAATCTTGTCCCTGACATCCTTGGGGAGCTCTTTGGTCTTGGCCATGGTGGAGAGTTTGGAATTTAATTGATTGATTGCTTCTGTGGACAGGTGCCTTTTATACAGGTAACAAGCTGAGATTAGGAGCACTCCCTTTAAGAGTGTGGTCCTAATCTCAGCTCGTTACCTGTATAAAAGACACCTGGGAGCCAGAAATCTTTCTGATTGAGAGGGGGTCAAATACTTATTTCCCTCATTAAAATGCAAATCAATTTACAACATTTTTGACATGCGTTTTTCTGGATTTTTTGTTGTTGTTATTCTGTCTCTCACTGTTCAAATAAACCTACCATTAAAATTATAGACTGATCATTTATTTGTCAGTGGGCAAACGTACAAAATCAGCAGGGGATCAAATACTGTCTTCCCTCACTGTATGTTGCATTTCTTTCGCACTGTATGTGATCAACAGTGATAATTATCGGACATGGTTTTAAAATACACGACGACATCAATGAATAGCATATTGGACACGCTGGTTTTGTGGCCACATGCGCAAACTGATCTATGGTGCTCAAACACATATAGGCTCTCACTCAGCCGTGGATTGACAAAGAATCACCCTTGATCACACGTTTCATCGAGAATGAACCGATAATATTCGCCACATTCAACTATCACCGTAATCGCCACACGATGATAACTCTGACAGGGGTACAGCGGTGTGGCACGGCGATCACGCGTACTGCGCGACTGTAGGAATCCGGCAACCTGGGTTTGACTCCCGGCCATGGCTTACAATGCTGAGTGACCATCAGAACTGGCGCTGGGTCGACCAACCCTCTTCACAAACGTGCATGGACCGGCATGGTGAAGTACGGTCGAACAATTACCGCGACCGACATGGCATAGCGAGGATTATGGACATTGTTATAATGGGGGGGGGGGGGGGGGGGAAGCATAGACCATCGCCTACACCACGCGTAGATAGGGAACGTTGGTGCAATTTAGCCATCGGGGAACACGCTGGGACATTAATTAATTGGCTAAATAAAATATTGAAGAAGAAGAAAAAAAAACAACGCTAAAACAAAACAACACTCTCTCAAAATTCCATTACCTCTTCGCCTATAGCAGCGATTCATTCGTCTTGCGACAAAAAAACACAGCGGTGATTTAATGCGCTGTGGGTAGCTCGTTCCTGGCCCTGCGAGGTGACACGAGAGGGGAGAGGGGGGGGGTGAAGGGGGGGCCGATAGGTGCGTGATCGCTATATAAGTGAAGGCTCAAGGCTTCCAACCGACTTCACTCCGCTCTTCGTCTCGGTGTCGAACTGTGTTTTTTTCTTTTAGGCTGAAAAGCATTTGCCGAAGAGTCTTGTACTAGTGCCGTATGCTTTTGCGAGCTCTTTACTCGATCGGTGGTGTGTGTGTGTTGTGTGTCTACGTGCTACTGAGCACTCTCACAGCAGTCGCCAATTGATGCAAATAAGCCAATAGCGGTCTCAAGTAATTTACAAATTACTTTCTACCACAAATTAAAATATTTTAAAAGGGCACCTCTTCTCCGTTGTAATACAAAAGGTAATGTATCCTTCGTGCACGTGTTACACCACTATATTAGTATACAAATAAGCGTTGCATATATCCATCAGGTGCTTTATGCTATATTATTTTAAACATACAAAATAACATACTAAACCGTATTAAATATGCGTAATATTATCTGTTATCGCATGTAGACGAATACGAATTATTCGATATGATGCTTTGTAAATGTATGTCGCACATTTTTTATGATTTATAATTATGGTTTATTTTTTAAAAGTCGTAGGCAAAGGAATTCGTTTAATTTGATATATTCATACCTACAACAAGCATACTTATAATTAAGGAAAAGTATTTGAATGCACTGAGATATCGTGGTGGTAAAATCGTAAATAGGTCCATACTGCTCATACTCAAAATCTATGCTCAATTTACCAATGAGGAGATAATATTGCAATTGCCCATAATTTTATATTTATTTGAAAGTGTTATAATAGTCCATCAATATCAGTTCAGGTTTCATGGTTAATTATAGTTTTTGGTTCTTTCGGTAAAGGCACGTAGGTAAATTAGTTTTTTCGCCTGAGGACGACCGCTTGTGTTGCGATCGAAACGTCGTGATATATTATTTTTATTTTGTTTTATTTTTCTATCTACATGACTTTACCGAAAGAACACAAAGAGTATGGATTTCTGCAGTCACGAAAGCTTCAAATCAAGATATTATAGTCTATTTCCCGCATCTCACGGTTGGCTACGTACGGTGCGAAACAAGTTCAACATACATGTATTCATACGTGATCATTTACAGC